TTATTTATTTATTTATTGTATTTATACCCCGCCTATCTAGTCATTTCGACCACTCTAGGCGGCTTACAACATATATAATGCATATAATGGTATACCAGGTATAAGAGGCCTCAAACACACTCCACTCATCCAATACTCACACCGAACCTGAAGGTCCTCAGTTGATCTAAGGTGTATGTGCTTCGCTGTCTCCTGGTGATCAGCCATAGACATGAAAGCTTGGGTGTCTGTTGCAGCGCTGTTCCAGACCACACCCGCCATGAAAAAATCCTTAATTCTTATAGTTGAGAGAGTAAACATGTTGACAGCAAGTCCTCTTAGTAAAATGAGCCATTTTTCAAGCTCCTGGTTTTTCCCAGGATCAGCAATTCCACCCCAAAATAGATCTTATCTACATGTACAGACATCTATTTGTAGATCTGCTTTTCTCAGGCCTCTCAGTGATTCATCTTGTTTACTCCTTTTTCTTATTCCACTTACCTCAGCTTTTTCTATGACCTTGCTGGCGTACTTATCCCAGAAGGCAATTGTCATTCTCCATTTTTATGAGTCCTTGTTACAGGGTCTTAGTCTGGAACCCACTCACACGGTTACATCTGCCTCTTATCCTGATGATCCATTTGATCTCTTCTTGTTTCTTATCTGTTTTTTTCCTCTTCTTTTCTGCCCAGTCACTTCACTTTTGTTTTCATAAAACCTTTTGCCTTCAATTTTGAGTTAATGTAATAACTCTGCTCCTGGAATTCAAAGAGGACACCTTCAGGCACCAACCACTTATACATAATTGAGTTTGTTCTCAAGGGATCTGTCGACTCCTCATATTGTCTCCTGTTCTGTCTTTCCCACGGAATATTTTTCAGGATCTTAATTATCTTTTTTATTAGGTTCCTTGCCTTGTATATTTCTTAGAACTTCATCTCGAATGATCTTGTAAATTTAACATGAATTTCTCTGGGGAGAGTCTTATTGCTGATGTATGCTGTATTAATTTGTCATGTTGTGTCTATATTTTGTTGAACATCCTCTGCTTACATCTCCATGAGCAATGCTAAATAATTAGTAATCACTTGCACTGTGTCTTCTCCTTTTTGTTCTGGTAGATCCTGGAATTCCAAGTATGGTATTGGCTCTTTACATTTGTAAATTTAACAGTAATTTCATCTTGCTTTCTTGCATTTTAGTTCTTCCATATCTGTATTCATGGTCTTCTGTTGTTTTTGATTTCCGAGCTATTCTGGCTATTTGTTTTTAATTTTCTGTAGTTTGATTTTTAATACCAGTCATTTGCATCCATAACTCTTTCATTTGTGCACATAGCTGAGCCATCCCTCTTTGTAATTGCTGTAGCCCTGTTGATAACATCTCTTGAATACTCTTTTGCCAGTTGCTAAATGATTCCTGCCTCAATAACTCATTGAGATTCTTGTTCTTGTGCCCGTGATCCTCTGAGTTCTCTTTTCCACCTTTTGTCACCATATTGGTTCTCCCCCCCATTCTTCCTAAATTAAGTAAATAGGTAAATAAGGGATGCTGTTTAAATCTTTTGTCAGCAGATTCCGCCCCCCCAAATTAAGTAAATAAGGAGTGTTGTTTAAGTCTTCTATCAGCAGATGTCACTGTAACCTTATTTTTCTTTCTCAGTTTTGTTTACATATCTGATCGAAGAAGGAGGTAGCACTTCCCTCAGGGTTGAAATTTCTCACAGTAGCTGAGTCACAATAGTACAAATTTAAAGGATCCACAATGCTTTGAAGTCAATAGGATTTGATATTGATATTTTAGATAGTCACTGGAGCTAGACTTTTCTCTTAGATTGATCTCCTTTTGTAGTGAGGTAGTTTTCTCCCTTTTCCTCCTCTCTCCTTCTTCTGATCTAAGCTGGGGTGGGGTCGTTTCTACTGTGACAGTAAGATTTTTAAAAAGGTAAAGTCCATTTTGCTGATTCTTTACATCTATCTCTTTTCTGTGGAGTTATTTGGGGTCATGGAGATTTTCCTTATATGAACAAATATTTTAACTCACTGGTTGAGATATTTCCAACAACCTTTTGTGCTCTCTCACTCTCTGCTTGGGGTGTTCCCAGTTCTTTCCCAAAATGGCTTCCACCTCAGTCCGTTCACTCAGATGCAACTTCAGAGGGGGAACCAGTCTTCGCTGATTCCTCTCCCTCCCCTTGTCATCTCTCCTGCTTCAGACACCTCTTCTCCTAGCAGTGTCCTTTCCCCCCTGGTTTTGCGGGGGCAGAAATGAGGGGACCCAGTCAGTTTCAGGAGCTTGCCTGAAATCTGACCAGTTCGTGCCACAACAAAACTCTGCCTCCAACAGGGAGATATATTCAGGGTTAACCATATGGGCGTTAGCCACTGCATGGCCCTGCCTGTCTCCCAAAGGGGCAGAGAGTGTGCAACAGCCCCAGAGCTGGACATGTGTGTTTGCTCTCCACCTCTGTCCTATGGAGGGAGGGAATGCTGCACCTTGGGGGCCCTCCCACTTTCACCTAGATCCATCCTCATGATTCAGAAATGCCAAAGTAATTGTGACAACTGAAAAGGTATCACCTCAAATTTTGACCAGTATATTTTGGACATGAGCTTAAACAATATCCCCAAGATATGAGGAATGATAGGTTGGGTTCGTTGAGCACTGCAGTCTCAGGTAGCTGGTCTGGTTGGCTTCTGCAATTTTTCTAGTGTTTTGTGGGCCAAGAAAGATCCACATGAGCTAAGTATCCCTGCAGCTTAATATATGATGGCTGCTAGACCGTTGACTCACCCATCCGATGCTGCTGCGGCTCCACGCTCCCTTTCAATTGCTCTGGAGCTTGCGGTTGGCTAGCCACTCCTGGCAGAAGGAGGGAAGATGAGCCTTCCTGCCAGGTTGACTAATGGCTAGTTGACCATGAGCTTCGGAGTGATTGAAAGGGAGTGCGGAGCCACGGCAGCAGCAGGCAGGTGAGTGGATGGTCTGGCCCCAGGGGGGCAGACCCTTATGTCCACCTGTGCGAGGGTATTCATATACATATATGAATACAAATACCCCCATGTCTACATATAACAAAGGATCCTGTTTTCAGGCACCAGGCACTCCCCTGACCCACCACTGGACCTGTTGAAATCAAGGAGGTTCACCACTACAGGTGGCAACCACATTTAATACTCCAAGATTGATTCTCCCTAAGGTCCCAGAGTTTTGATGGAAATGGGTCTGAGATTCTAGGGCCAATATGTAAAAGCTTTCATCCTGAAATCAAGAGGGGGCATCCATAGTATTATTATTCACATCTTGTATATGTTGTTTTGAGAACAGGATATTCTTTTCCACGGCCTCTGTGGATCATATTTTGGGTGATCCATGCATGCACGGAGCCTCGTCAGAATATTCTAGAGCTTCTGTGATCAGAAAAAGACATATTATTACAAGCCCCCTCCCCCAAAACATACGGCCATTTTGAGTTACAAGCAGCTCCGGCCACACAATTTTGCTTCTACTTGCGACCGGAGCTTCCAGTTACAAACAGAAAAAGGCAGGGAAATTCAAATTGCTAACTCTAGGTGGCGATGAGGCTGCTTCTTTGTAGCTCTTTCACCCCAGCAGTTAGAAAGTGTGCGTGTGCGATTGGAGGAGGCTGCCTGGTAAGGTAAGATGCTGCTTTATGCTTTTTAAAAACTGTTCTGGGTGTTTTTGCAGCGTGGCTTTGGGCCGGGGGGTTATGTTTCTGCGCTGGGATGGGTCTTGGGTTTGTTGGTCGGTTCCCCCCCCCAATTTCTGATGGGTCTTGGGAGTTCTGGTTGCTTTTTGGAGTGTTTTTTCCCATTTCTGATGGGGGTTTTGTTTTTTGGGTTTCCCCAATTTCCGATGGGTCTTGGGGGTTTTGGTTGCTTTTTGGGGGTTTTTCCCCATTTCTGATGGGTCTTCCATGCTTCCCTTGCTTTTTGCTTTGTTCTCTTTGCATTTCTGACATGCTCCCTTTGTTCTCTTTGCATTTTCAACCGGCTCCGTTTGTTTTCTTTGCATTTTCGACCTGCTACCTTTGTTCTCTTTGCATTTCCGATGGGTCTTGCATGCTTGATTGCTTCCCCCCCTCGACCAGAAGAGATTAATCGTGTTTCCAATGGGTCTTGCAGTGATTTTTTTTGTGTGTGTGTGTGATTTTTTTTCTTCGTCTGGAATGAATTAATTGCATTTCAGTGCATTCCAATGGGAAATGGTGCTTCGATTTACAACTTTTTCGAGTTATAACCATCTTCCGGAACCAATTAAGTTCATAAGTTGAGGCACAACTGTACAATACTTTTAAATTACCCAGGCAGACTGGATTGAAAACGCAATCTTTCTGGCCTGCCTGGAGAACTGCTTCTACTCCTGGGCCAATCCTATTGGCCAATTAGAATTCCAGGATAGGAAGCCTTTGTGCCAGTGCAGGGAGCCCTATGAAGAAGCTTGCCTCTGCAGTGGCACCTGCTGAAACCTCTTGCCCTGAAGCCACAAAATGCAGCCTTGAGGTGAATCTAGGACCAGTCTTTGTGACACATCAGTTCATTCTAGTGGTTGAAGTCAATTTCTAATCCAATAACAACTGATGTAGCTTTTAAGAAATAAGAAAAGGATTTAAGGCTAGTGTTTCATCCAGAATTTAGAGGCTTTTAAAGACTGAAAAATAGAACAGGGAATTAAGAAATAGAAGCTATAAAATGTTGAAAATTATGCCTTATGTTTCCTTTGATAATTTGCAATTTGATTTTCTATGGCTAATGTTTTATATTTCTTGAGGTCTGCACTTTAGTGAAAATAAGTCTCTTTTAACTTGTGTTTTGTTTCAGAATGTGGGTTTATCAATGATGAGATATTTGTAGAGCTGGTCAATGCTCTTGGTCAGTATAGTGATGATGATGAAGAAGATGAAGATGACGATGAAGATGATGATGATGATGTTGATAATCTTGATGGAAAAGCTGAAAAGGAAAAAAACCAGGAAGGCAACAGACTAGGTATGCTAATAGGGTTCAAATATGTTTATACTGGTTAGACTAAAAGTACACAAGGCATAGTCTGATGCCATGAAAAATCAGAATCAGTGTCAGGAGCAGAGCACCATACAGTTGTCGTTCTCTAACTCTGTCCGTCTTAATCAGGAAGATCTAAACAATCATAAACCTTCCATTATTTCTTTCTTGATTTCTTCACTGGGATCCCCAATCCAGTGCTCTAACATACCTTTTTGGACAAGCTATAGCCATAAGCCACAAGCCATTGTTTGTTGTTGGGATGAATGCAGGACAACTATAGTTTTCTAAAAACAGTTCTTCAATAGAGTACACTTTGGCTGAAATTCAGTAATAAGTTGCAACGAGAGTAGACCCATTGAATCAATAAATATTTGGTAAGTTAACTCTTCTGTAAATTCTACTAATTTACTGTATTTATGATTTACTACTGAAGGGGGGAAGCTTTGGTAACAATGTGGAAGGAGAAGAAAGAGGAGAGAAAAACACACACACATCCCCTGATTACTAGCTGTAATGATATGTGTTTTTGAAACTATAGTGTGTTTATTAGAATGGGTTATGTAGTCATATTATTGTCTTAATGGCATCCATTTTGAATCAATGTCTGTGTCTGTGAAAGGAATTTCAAGATGCTGTTTGCGACTCCCTAGCTCTCAGTCCTTATCTGGTTGCTAGGACGGCCGAAGAGCAGAAATTCTGGTAGTCATAACATTTCTACCACTAACATAATAACACCTGCAAAGTCTCATGTGAAACTAGGGTGGGACAAGACATTCTTTGCTTGTTCCTGATTGGTTATCCTGAAGAAGAAGGAGAAGGGGGGTAATGGAGTCTTAAGTGGTAAAATGGAGTGTTGCAGAGAGAAGAAGAGCCTTTTTTCTGAAATGGAGCCTTTTTCCTAACATGGACCTGATGGACTATAACGGACTTTACCGTTCCTGATGGACTATGGAATTCCTGGATACGTAAGAATGTAGTTTTCTTTAGGAGAAGGAAGGCTATGCCGTCCTTAACTATAGATTAGTATTCATTTCTTTGTTTTATTTTTTTTTCAGCTGGAGTTTGTGGAGTATTCTAATGTCTTGATTTGGAAATGTTACTAAATGCCTTATTTTGCAATAAACTGAATTCTATCTAGAACTATAATTTCTTAATAAAACAATAATGTTTAAGATTTCATGTGTTGGTCTCTTGAACAGAATAACCTGAATAATTATTTTGCTACCTAATAATTGGCCATGTGTTTGCTACGATAGAGCCCATAATTTACCTGAGTTCTAACTCATGGTTTATGTTGTGTTTTTTTTTTTCTTACAAAGATGGTAGACTTGAGGAAGGGGCTTCAGTGCAGTTGCCTGGTTAAGTTGGGCTCATCTTAGCCACATAAGGACTGACTAAGCTCCGGAATCTCTCTATTCCCGGCTTTTTCTGTTCTCCTCGGAGACAGAAGGAGCTGACACTGGTGCAAAATTGAAAGAGAAACTTTCCATTTGCTGATAAGAACTATTTAAGCTTAAAGTAATTAATTACTTTAAAAAAAACCAATTTACACCCAGGGGAAGAAGGAAGAAAAAAGCCGCGGACAAAAGTACTGACCAGAAGTTTAGATGAACTGCCTTTAATAACGGATTGCTGTCTATTCTCAGAGTTTAAAATATTAATAAATAAATAAATATAACGATAAGAAACTCACTGAGAGAACTAAATTCTATTGACATGCCTAATAAAGCTGTGCAGGACTTTTAAATTACTCTTGAGCTTCACCTGCTGGGAATTTGTACAATTACGTCCAGATTCATTGCAACTGCTTTTTTGGATTAAATTTTCTTTTCTTTGGATTAAATTACTGCTGGAGACTCTTTTAAAAAATAAATGAGATTGGAAACAAGCTTGGATAAAAAGATATTAATGAGGCAAGGAAGGTCAAGACAAAAGGAAAGCAGAGTTGCTGTGAAAAATAGAAGAGAAAGTAGAGAGGTTTGGAGAAGACTTTGAATCAGGTTTAGCATCCAGATCGGAATCCAAAAATAAACGTTCTGACTATAATTTGAAGAGGCTATCTGAGGGTACAACAGAAAAAAAGTCACGAATTACAAAAAAACACAAGAAGTAGGACCCAGTTCTGAACCAGAATCTATTGGACACTGTTTCACGTATTAAGGTGTTAAAGGGTGTTTACCCCTTCATAGATTGCTGCCTTGTCATGGTGAAGGGGCTTGAGTAACTCGAGAGAAGCTATAGCTATACCGTGCAGGGACACCCAAGGCGGACAAGTCATGGTAGAGAGTTCTGACTGAATGCAATCCACCTGGAGTAGGAATTGGCAAGCCACTCCAGTATCTCTGCCAATACCCCATGATCCGAAACAAAAGGCTAAAAGATATGACACTGGAAGATGGGCCTCTCAGGTTGGAAAGCGTCCAACATGCTACTGAGGAAGAGCGGAGGACAAGTAGCTCCAGAGCTAATGAAGTGGTTGGGCCAAAGCCGAAAGTATGCTCAGCTGCGGACGTGCCTGGAAGTGAAAGGAAAGTCCGATGCTGCAAAGAAAAATACTGCATAGGAACCTGGAATGTACGAGTAAGATCTCTGAACCTTGGTAAGCTGGATGTGGTCAAACAGGAGATGGCAAGAATAAACATTGACATCCTGGGTGTCAGTGAACTAAAATGGACAGAAATGGGCAAATTCAATTCAAACGATTATCATATCTACTGTTGTGGGCAAGAATCCCGTAGAAGGAATGGACTAGCCCTCATAGTCAACAAAAGAGTGGGAAAAGCTGTGATGGGATATAATCTCAAAAATGATAGAATGAATTCAATACGAATCCAAGGCAGACCTTTCAACATCACAATAATCCAAGTTTATGCACCAACCACCAATGCTGAGGAGACTGAAATTGACCAATTCTATGAAGACTTACAACAACTTCTAGAACTGAAACCAAAGAAAGATGTTCTTCTCATTCTAGGGGATTGGAATGCTAAAGTAGGGAGTCAAGAGATAAAAGGAACAACAGGAAAGTTTGGCTTGGAGTTCAAAATGAAGCAAGGCAACGGCTAATAGAGTTTTGTCAAGAGAACAAGCTGGTCATCACAAACACTCTTTTCCAACAACACAAGAGGTGACTTTACACATGGAAATCACC